TGATCATTTCAAGACATAGAACCTAAAAAGTCTAATTGATGTACTCAATAAAGCGGAATAAACTGAAGTTGTACTATTTTTTAAATAAGATAGAAAAGACTTTTTTTTTCTTTTTTTTTATAGTTACAGGAGACCTGGCCCATTCGGCAAATCTTATCTTTGCATGATATTAGGTTAAGAGTACAGCTCAGATATAGATAGATTTTTTATTATATTTGTCTCAGTTATTTCTTTTTCAAGACACGCCCGATAAATTCGACCCTTTTGTTAATTGTGCAACGACGACAGCCGCCGCTGCAGCACCAAAAAACCCAAACGGACAAGGCAATTTTTAATTTAAGTAATTTTTTTTTCATTTAAGCTAAGATAAAATACCTACTTGCAAAAAATTATTAGTTCCAAAGTAAACAAAAATTTAAAGAACAAATTTTAAAAAAAGTCACTGCTGTGAATAAAATTTTTTTTAATAATTATATTTCAAAAACAATTAAAAAAATTGCTTTAAAATTTGGTTCCAAACATTAAAAAGTACTAGGGTTGGCTTAATCTAAAAATGAAGTCACAATCTGCACATTTCATACCGTGTCTTCAATTGAATCTTTGACAGAGAAAGCTATCATCGCCTGTGTTTTATAGTGACAAGAAGTACAATCTGCTACGTCTTGTAGCATCCATTATAAGTAGAATTTGCAAAAACAAAATAACAATGAAAAACTGTCAGATAAAATTTTAAAACTGTGTTGGAAAAACAAGCTTATCTTTAAATATCATAACTTAGAGGGAACCAAATAACAGTTTGTTTTCTTCAAGCAAACCACGCTGGACATTTTCCTTCTAGTAGCATCTCTTCTTCTGAAAGCATTAATTTTCTACTTTCGGAATCACATCTTTTTCATCATTCGAAGGATGGTAATTTTCGTTTAGCTCTAAAGGTTTTAACTTGCTGCTTGATTGAGTACCAATAATATCTTCTTTTATCACAATCATGTTCTCGACTTCAGCTCTAGACTCCGAATCGCTATCTTCTGGATAACTTGAATCTTTTTGGGGAAGAATTTCTGTTTTATTAGCAGATCCATTGAGTATTTCTTCCTCGGTACTGCGCGTAGCAGGCCCGTACTTGTCTTGCTCCCATTCGGTAGACTTTCCTTCTATTTCAGTTTTAACAGGAAGAATAAATGGTGTCAATTCTTTCCTTTCGAGTATTCTCAAAGTCATTTGTTCAAAAATCTGCAAACCTATTTTAATATTGCGTTACAAGTACTTCTGATCAAAAAAGTTTTGCTCAAAAAAAAAATCATTATTTAAGACATTACTTAACCTTTAGCTATCTGTAACTGTCTCTATTGTATAATATTAATATATATATATATCCAATGTAACAAAATTATAAGATCTCTGTGGTTTTTGTAACTTTTATTATTAATAATATAAATTTTCCAATAATGAATGAATTACTATATAAATATACATATAAGAGATATATTTAAACATAAATATTTTGTGAACGACAATCTGCTACAAATTTATAAGACCACCAGTTAAAATTATCTTTTTTACTGAACTGAAAGGCTGTTGATCCATCATTTTTCTGGATAAATTCAAAAATTCGGATTTTTCATTGACTCAATTAAGTTTTCTAGCTAAGTTTCAGGAATTTTGTCCCATCCCTCCATGATAGTTACTTCAAGGTCGTAAACAGAACTATATCGGCGGTTATTTGCATACACTTATCCTACCAAGCAGTCCCACAAGTTATCTATAGTATTAATATCAAGACTAGGCTTAGGACTTAAATTTTTTCTTTCTGAAACCAATTTTTAGTTGATTGGGATACATGGTATGGCGCAGTCTCTTTCCGAAATTTCCAGTCTGATCCATTTAGATGCGGACCATAAGGTATAAGGGGTTGGTAGGGTAGTTGTTGCTAACAACTGGAGTCCATTTTTTCCAGAAATAATTATTACCATCCAGGACATCCAAATTGAACTTCTTTTCTTCGAAAAGAATAATATTTTTCCCCGCAGAATCCCAGGCCATGACCTCATTTGACCACTTCAGCCTCTGTCCTTTATGATGCTTTACCATTCTTGGCTTTCTTTTTAACATTTGAATTTGGTCTCTAAGTGCATCAGACTGTTGTACGAAAAATCTACTTGTACTATTTCTACTTGTCTGTTGAGTTATTTTGAGAGCAGACAAGTTCTGTTTCGTTGCAAGTTTGAAAATGTACCTATTATCTCGAGCTGATAATTTACGCTTCCTACCGTATTTTTATTTTACATAACAATCTTTTTTGCTTAAAACGTTATGGACAGCAGTTTTAGAGCGTTTAATTAACTTACATATTAACATTCCAATTTTCTGGAGCATTTGAAAAACATATTTTCTAATTTATTTCTTCTAGCTCAGATAATCCTTTTCTGCGTGATATTTTGAATTTTCTTAAGGGAATAAATAAATGAAATTCTCACTTTCTTTATAATATTATCGTCTGCGTTTTCTCAGATGCTAACAGTTACTGTTTTCATACGATTTTGAGAGATAAAATAAAAAAAGATTTTGAAAACTCAAAAGATTTCGACCAGATTTTAAAAAATCGTTTGCCGTGTGAACCCAATTCAATTTTTCTCACTTTTTGATTTATTTGAGAAAATACAACTTATTTAAGCTGCTTCACTATTTTAAAATTATATGTTTTATGAAGTGTACTATAAAAACGAGGAATATTTCAGGGGGGTCTTATAATTTTGTAACACACTGTATACTATTTATGGTGTTTCAAAAAGAAATAATTCATTATATAGAGGAGAAGGTGTAAAAATGGGCACAGGTGTAAATATGGGCACCCCTCCCTAGTAACTATGGGAGGTACTGAAGACTGGCGGCAAGGACTGTATATGGGGCCAGTTGCTAATATAAGATTGTACAGAGCAGTTGAAACCATTTTTTCAAGTAGTGTGGATGCAGCGTGAGTTATTGTGCAAATTGGTGTTTATTCTGGACTGCAAACTTTTGAGAGGTATGTGAAATCGTTTTCTTTTCATGTACTTATGTTCAGTTAAAAATAATTTGACAGTGATATCCGGAAAGCGGAGATCTTAAGCTATTTTTTGAAGCACACCTTTAGTCACGCACGCTTTTAGGTTACTTGTGATAGTGGCCATCCTTCTTAGGTGGGGTTGGTGTAAATATGGGCCCCCATTTAAAGGGTGCCCATAATTACACCAACTTTTTTTAGTGGAGTTTAGCACATCAGGCTCTAGTTATGCCAATTGATAAGGCAGCTGAAATACCTCAATGTTCCCCGGGAACTTCAAGTGCAATTTCTCCGTTCGACATATCTCCTGTTCCCAACATTAAGAAGATAACCACTACTCGTGGACGCAAAGCAGCAAGGTCCAGCCTCATCACCGGATTACCATACAAGGATCAGTTGACCAAGACGCTTGACAAGTGCTCTCAAGAAGACGTCCTTGAGTTTTCCCGGGGTAAGAGACCGGCCAGAGGGCAGGGTGGGAAGACGAAAGGCCTTCAAAAAAAGAAAATTCGGCCCACGCAACGATACGATTCATCATCGGACTCATCAGACTCGATGACCCTCCTCTTATCTACAGCGATGATGATACGAATCTGATAAATGTCAACGGTGGGGATAAACCAGACTCAAGCGATGCAACTTGCAGTTTTTGTGATGGAAAGTTCTCTGAAGACACTCGAGGAGAGGTGTGGGTAAGATGCGTTATGTGCCAAATGTGGGCACTGTGCCGGGGGTGAAAGAGCCAGTTATGTTTGCGATTTCTGTAAATAATTTTTTTTCCTGTAATAAATAAATTCTCTACCATTTTGTATTGTTTTATCCTGTTTTTAAACTATTTTTGGTGGCTTTTTTGAAGAGGGCCCATATTTACACCCCATTTTTTCTGGTGCTTTTTTAAAAGATTTTTGAAAATCGTCGTTTTTGAAATGAAATAATTGATGTTAATCATTGTTTTGCCTTCTCGCATTTAGGAAACTTGTTATAGTTGTTAATGAAAGATAAAAATCTAGAAATTTTCAAATTGAAAGTAACTTTATCCAAAAAACAAAAGAGGGTGCCCATATTTACACCTTTTCCTCTACTAATATACTCCATCATACTAACTAAAATAATTTAGTATAAATTAATTATACTAAATACTTCTAGAATAAATCTTCCGCAAATATTCAAAAAAGTCAAATTGTCATATTGAACAAATATTAAAATTGCTAACATTCATGAATTTTTGAAATGGAATATAAGTCACATCTGGATTTATATCTCATCGATTATATGTACATTCTTCCAACAGAAAAATACGATCATTCAAGCATAGTATAAAGTTTAATTTAAATTTCCGAGTAAGTTTAAGAACTTGAATCACTTACAAATATATATTTCATTAATATTAACATAGAAACTACATGTGTGTGTACATAGTGTGTGTACATGTGAAACTACATAGAAACTACATATTCGATCATGTCAAATATAAATTGCGAAAAATTATACGAACGCGTAGACTGGAGAATTTATAAAAATGAAATTTTAAACAAAATCGTCTGTCAAAATGAAAAAAAAAAAGAGTGCAATGACAGATTGATATAAACGAGAGTGAAGTGAGAAAAAAATTAGTGATAAACAAGACGAGAATGGATTTTTTTTAAAGAAAGAAAAAAGTTTTCTCATGAAACGAGTGTGAGCGTAAAATAAAGTATTGTGAAAACTGTAACATTAATTACGTTTGTTTAATTAGGAATGTTATAAATATAAATTTTCTTCTTTCAAAAAGCTTTTTTAATAATAATTTTTAATTACTTCAATATTAAAGTTTCGAAACCCAAAATTGGTGAAATTGAATATTTTGATGAATATAAAACGTATTGAAATGCGTCTAATCCTCTTAGTTTTGCTGCCATTTTTTCAGTTTCTCACGAATTTTTAAAATGAGACTATCGTATCAGATGTATGTATGTAGTGATGGTGAGAATCGTGAAGTAAGTTTTTATGAAAACTTGAATTAAATTTATTATATCTTACTTCTTTAACATTTTCACCAGTCTTGGCACGGCATTCAAAAATTTCGAGATTTTCACTTATGGCAAAATTTTGGACTTCTTTAAGAAGTTCTTCCCTTTCACAGAAAAGGTCAGATCGAGCACCAACTGTCAATTATAAAATATTTTCATTAAAAGAAACTTGAAATCCAAAGAAAAAATTTTCATAAATGAAAATTTTTTTTCTGGGAATGTAACATTATTTTTGCGTTAATGCTCAATTCGTTAGATTCGCAATTCGTTAAATACGCAACTGTTCTTGATTTATATCAGTGGATACTCTAACATAATACATAGTTCATTTTATAGAAATGAGATGGCGCACAGGCAGCTGAGAAGTGGAGAGATTTCGACACGAGAAGTTGTTTTACCATATGAATGTCTCACCCTCACTAATATATTCAAACCAAATATTTTCTCACCCAAATATTTTTTATAAATGAAATTTCCAATGTCATTTCTAATTTGTATCATCTAAATGCCACAATGCACACATACAGACATATTTTTTCCCTATGGACATATGTAGAAATTTTTAAAGTTTCAAGCATGTGCATTTTGTATCAAGCCTAAGGGATACAAACTGAAGATTACGCTAACTCCATGGTCATAAACAGCCCTTGCATTACTTGGCAAAAGATTTAAATTAGTATTTTTATTTCAGAAACCCTGTAATATCCAATTAAAAGCAGCAAGTAATACTCCGATGTAAATATTTATTTTTAAGCTATCTGTGAAAATAAAATGCTAGAAGTTGTTACTTATCACTTGCCAAAACTAGCAAGTCTGCTATGGGAGATCATAACGAATTTGCAAGATAGAGGGCGCGTTTCTTGTTTTTCAGTGACACCATCTACGGCCAAGAATACACCTTAAGTCACACGAACACGTCACAGCCCGTTTTACAGGGAGAACCAATTCATTCATACACAGATCGCAATTTTAACCTTAATCAGAGAACGCCCAATCTCCAATTCAGTACCTCTAGAGGTACTGATTTTTTATCGGAACTTGGTAGACTTTGTGTCTCCGGCAGATTTAACATGCACCAGTCACTATTTGATACACGGGGATTATTCGGCCCGTGGGATTCGAACTCATGATCTCAAGAACACGAGCCCAACGCCCTACAAACCAGGCTATTTCGACCCAAATACCAGAAGTAATTAATAAAATAAATACTTATGAATATGATTGCTTCTGGAGCTAATTTCCTCATTGTCGCACACCATTCTCCAATATTCCCAAAGGTACAACTGTTTTCATTATCATGAACCAGAAGAATACCGTGTGCATTTCTCATTGCTCTGGAAGAAAAAAAAAATAAATATATCTGTCAGCATTTTCAATAAATATTTTCTTTTAATTGTTGCCTTTGCTCTTCGAGGAGAAAATTTTATTACTGAACGATATTTACTTGCTGTTAAGGTAAATATAAAAATAAATTCAGGAAGTTTAAAAAAATGAAGGGACAAAGAAGGCATACAAAAAGAATTAGTTGTAGTAGTACTTTATTTAAATTACTTTAGAGCTGCAAAATGGATAATGGCGAAGGTCCGGTAAACACCCCGGATGATCTGAAGACACGCTATCACTGTTTTGATCCTTAATAGAAAGGATGGCTTCCCGCTTTGACAGCCCAGATATCTGTGTGTGAAGTCGAGTACTTTACGATGGAACAATTTAACGAGGATCGATATCGCACACTCTCATTCCCACACACATACACACACCACTGGTCCATCGTCCACAGCCAGTGATGCTTTACCTTGGCGATCTACAGGAAACTAAGTCATACGAGCAATTCATTGTAAGATAGGAAAAGAATAAAAAAATCGCAAAAGTGCATAGAGCCGCAAACACGACCAACCATTCGCAATATCAAAAATCTGAAGAATACCGTGTGGGTTTTCCTACATTCTGGAAAGAAAAATTTCAAGTAGATTCATCAAAACAGTTGTATTTTTTTTTCTTTTAGGAGAAGATTTTATTACTTAAGGATTTTATCTTATTAGTAAGGTAAATGTCAATCAATGTTCCTGCCCCACCCACTTCTGGTCATTCAGGAAATTTTATTGTATCATCACGTACAATCTGGCAACAAGCTTGGAAATTTTATTGAAATCTAACATTATAGCAAACAATCTGGCAACAAGATTATTTGTTATAAAGAGAATTGTAATAATAAAGGTAAGTTATAAAAAAAAAATTTGAAAAATAATTTTGCATTATCTTTTTCAAACTTTTCTTCTTTATATTCTAATAAAATTTGATAGAAAGTAAAAAGTAAAGCAAATGAGCAATTTAAATAACTTTTTTTCCCGCGTAAGCTCTCATTATACTATAATATAAATTTACCAAAATCAGTTAAAAGAAAGACAAAAATTCTAAAAGTTTAAAATTAGTTTAAGACTAGAAAAGAATTAAGTAGAAATTATAATTTAAGTTTAAAATGGAACAAGCCTAGCTTAAAAAAGTATCAGATATCAGTATTTGATCAGGATGAAAGTGATAAAAATTTTAATTCAGCATAACTAATTGAGCAATTCTGAATCCTTGTGATGGTCCCATACCGTCCCTTAAAGTTTTCCCCAATAAGACAATATTCAACAAAGTTAGTCATGGTTAATAAAAATAAATATTAATTAAGTTACGACACAGTAATGATGTAAGTAAGTAGTACAATCAAATAAAAGTTTTATCGGTAAGTATGTTATATTTTGCAAAAAGTAAGCTGTATTTAACGCTAAAATGTAACAAATTTGAATTGAAAATGAATTTTTTGTACTAACATTGGCAATAATTCACGATATCTCTTTTTGCCAGGATGAACTCCAAAAAATAATTGCACAGTTTTATCCTTTTCCTTAAGTTGTTTAGTGTAGTAGCCCCCGTCGAGTATCCGATTAAAATTGTCTAAAATGATGACATACCCTTTAGTTAAAGTAAAACTTTAACTGACAAACATGAGTAAAATATAATCAGGTAAAAGTACGGGAGAGTGGGGTCAATTGTAACAGGGTACGATTGTAACAGAGCAAAAATTTCGAGTGTCGGGTTCTAGATTTGGCTCCTAGGTGGCGCACAAGGTGTATTTAATAAATCTACATGTACACCCCTGCTGGCAACCATTTTTATTTACTTTGAAAGAGTTGCACCACAAAAGATATTTTCATGCTACGTAAGTACTTTTTTTGGTATTAGAATATTATATTGTAACAAAGTAATTTTGTTTAAACGAATAAAAATTATTAACCGAATATGTAAGTGGACACCTTAATTAACATTTCAAAAAAAAGATTAGTTTTGTTAATTAACTAGCATTGTTTTTAACAAGTGAAGCTGAAATGGCATCTTGGGGACGATTGTAACAATAAGTAAAGGGACGATTGTAACAGCTGAAAATAAATAATCTTATGTTTACAAACCATTACTTAGCTCATTAAGAACCACCAATAGTTTCCTATATCATTTATATTATGTTGCATGTGCATTATTTTATTTGTCATCTTTCCAGCATAAATTAAAATTTTTCACCCCTTAAAATTAAAAGTTTAACCCTTTAGGTCTCTGCTCATTATTATTTTTACTCCTAAAATATCACTACTATTTTGATCAATAAAAAAATATATCACAACTATGATAATATGTATAATCAACTATGTTTTAGTTGAATTTATAAACTGTTACAATTGAGACCCCGTAAGTGGGGATAATTGTAACAAGTGCATGACTGTCAAAAATTGTTAATAACTAATATAATAACATTTAAAATAAGGTTTTTTTTTTCTAGTAGAGGATAGTCTACTTTACTCGTCTGTCAATTAATACTAATAATATATTGGATTTTTTATTAGTTAAAAATAGTTAAGTAAAAAATGTCGTTATTGACCCCACTCTCCCCTACCAACTATGTGCATTCTTAAGCGTTTAATATTTTTTTAAAAAAAATCCTTCTTTCTAAATTTTATTTATTCTTTCTTCTCAAGTCATAACAATGTTCTATATTTTTATGCAATGATATCACTGCTATTAATGGTCATTGAATTGTTATTATTTTTTGTTTCAATAGATACAAATTTGAAAATTTATGGAAAATTGTCCAAGCAGAAGATAACAGAGAATAGAGTTAACCCTTTGACGCAGAACTCTTATTAAACATATTTCTCATTATTTTGTATTAATCTAGGACAATGTAAGTGAAAAATATTATATTTAACATTTTAATAATTTAAGGATATGAAATACAGCATGAAACACAGGTGACGGCGTGGAAGGTAAAATCTTTCATACACGGTTCATTTCCAAACAATAAGTTTTCAAATTTGCAATTACTTAGATCTAAGAGAAACAGTTATTCTTCATTGAAATTTCTTTAATTCACTAAATAAATTATGGATAAGTTTTTGAAAAATACCAAAATATACTTTTGCTTGTGATTGAAGCATCAGAAAAAAATATATAAAAAGCACACAGGTATTCCAAATGAGTTAAAGGGTTAAAAACATCCTCCAGCACGTATACGAGAGCTGCAGGTTGTCATAGCAAATGCAGAATTTTTTTTTTCATCAATAGATTTCAAAAAAGTCAGATTTGAAAATTACTACGAGGAGAAACAAAAAGACCTTTTTTTAAAATCCTAAACGTACTCAATTACTGTTTGTTTCAAGTCCTTATAGCAAAATTTTTTTAGAGCTAATTCGCAGATATATAATCAGAAGAAAAATGATAACTTACAAAATTTCCAAATAATATACTTAAATCAATTGGAATTTCGAGAAAAAAAAATGTGAATTGCAAGAAAAAGGAGATTAAGTCGGGAATCTTTCCATTGTTTACTTTTAGATTGTAAAAACATGCCAAATTTTTTAACTTTCGAATATTCAATTATTCATCTATTTAAGAGCGAATAATTTTTTAAGAAATTAAAATAAAAAAATTTTTACGACATTTTGTGTATAATTTTTTTCTACTTTATATGTACTAATTTTGCTGTACAGTGAGCAAAAAATAAAAACAAACAAACCACCCTGAATAACTTTTGATCTAGTGATCGGCTCGTATCGTTCTCATGGCTTCACAATCTTAGTAGCTCTAGTGGGTGACTTCAAATATGCTAATTAATAAGTGCAGATGATATTTAAAGTTACGAAAAACACACTTTCTCTGAATAAACATAGCTTTTCTTGCAACGGATTCGGATTTCTGACACCCAAAATATAGGGGTAGCCTCAATCTGGGAAATATGGTCTCAATAGTTTGGGTAGGAGAGTGATTCGCATCCCTTAATTTTACTTTTTGCGTATTTTGCTGTATCTCGAGAACTTTCTAACCGAATTGAAAAATTATTGCACACAATTATAAATTTCGTTTAGCCAAAGATAATTCAATGCAGACAATAACTTTGAGTTAATATTTAAATATTTTATTTAAGAATGCTTGAAAAATGAACAAAATCGGTCGAATAGTTCCTGAGAAATCGAATATTAAATACCTGAAATTTTTGAAATTCAATTTCTCACGAACAATTCAACCGATTTTGTTCAGATATTGTATCTCGCCGTGTAAAATTATATTTAGCAAACTAGGAAAAAAATTGTGTACAATTCAAAATTTTTTCGACCATTATTAAGTAAAATAATAATAAAATATTTCCTAAAATTTAATTTTTTTGCTTGGAATTATCTTCGGATAAACGAATTTTAAAATTGTGTGCAAAAATTTTTCAATTTGGTTAAAAAGTTCTCGCGGTTTAGTAAAATACGCAAAATGTAAAATTAATATTAATGGGTCCAAACTTTGGAGAGCACTTTTGACGAAACTATTTGAGACCATGTTTCCCTAGATTGCAGCTACCCTCTAAATATAATAATAACTTAAAATATGGCCTGCACAAATTAATTAGCAAATTTGAGGTCACCCCTTCGAGCCATTAAGATTGAGTCCTAGAATATGAAGATCCGATTATTAAACCAAAAGTTATTTAGATAGGAGGTTTTTTTTTTTTTCCTTTCTTTCTTTCCCACCCACCCCACACGCATGCTAAAGTAAGCCTAATATTTATAATAAAAGTTTCAATCTGACTATTTTAGCGTAGCAGACAAAATTAAAATTATGAAGATAGTATTGCAAATTGACTGAAAATTCTGCTACCGGGATTACAATAATGCACAGTGCTCCTGCAATGAATTTATGCGGAGGTGTTGTTGTTTATCCTCACTGTATGCGGAAGCAAATAACTCAAGTAAATAACTCATCTCTATTTTCAAAATTCTTCAGAATGTAGGGTGATCAAGAAGTTCGATGAGGCTTGGGAAAAACTTGTACATTTTTTAAAATAGGAATAATCTTCTTCAGCTGACTAAATTTCAAGATATCAGATATTTTTATCACTTTCTTAGCAGTTTTTCGAGGGATAGAATATTTTTTAGATGTCAAGATTAAAATTTTTTTTTTACTGTACAATAAATTATTCTTCTAAAGTGAATTCTAACGAATTTTCATACGTCACACAAATGATACTATTGCTCAGTTCATTAAATTAACATGCATTATCATGAATATTATTTTAAAAAAAATAAATGCATCATACTTGATAGTAAAAATATTAAACTATTACCTTAAAATTAATATTTTTTAAATTAATTTTTAAAAAATTATGCTTAAACAAAAATTAATTTTCATGTAAATTACCTTCGAATTTTCTAGTTTCCGTTCGAATCAGAAATGCTTTTTCTCCAACTGAAATTTAAAAGAAATAATAAGCAATAAATAAATTATTCTTGCTCATCAAAACAAATTAGCGAGACTAAGAACGAAAAAGAAATGTTTAATTCTCGTAGTATAATTAAACTCTAATACTAAAACAAATTAATACTAACTAATAATAATAATAATTAATTGCTTTTTGGACATGAATTTAAAATTCTTAAACTTTATAATATCAGGGCTGACTACTACGTTCCTCGAAGCAAAATAACTTGCGTCCTCACTGGGCCAATATTCATGAATCTTGGCTCAGTAAGGGTTCGAAGGGCCTATATTTTTCCGATATTGGTCCTATATAGAATTTTCCGATTTTCCCGGTATTTTACAGAAACTTTACAGTCAGTATTGGTCCTATACAGAATTGTCAGATTCACCCGATATGCTATATCCATTATTTAGCCAATGTAGGTTCTATATTAGCCAATGTAGGCCATACCAATCGGAGATATTTTCCAAAAAACCATTGACGATCGGATCCTTTACATTATAATTCTTTAAAAGTCATTTAAAGGAAAATAATACAAAGGATCCTTTAAAGGTATTATTATCATAATTTTTTTTTTTAAATAGTACTTATAAATTACTGGTACTATGAAGTCAAAGTTCATCAATAACTACTTCTATTATTTATATTCTATTCTTTTTATTATTTCTATTCTATTCTATTCTATTATTTATATTAGACAACGCCAGGTTCTGATATACACAGGTCACCGGCTATGGATGATGCACATCTGTGCATTGAATATGACAATATTGTGAATAGTATACAAAACGATAATTGAAGACGATATTATTGTGAAATGATGCTACATTTTATTTTGGGTAAAGAAACATATACATACCAATGCAGAAATTAGATTGATACAGAAAATATAACTATACACTTTTGACAATCCTTACGATACTATAATTTATACAATGGGTGCTAATGATTGTGTGAGTGAAAACTTGAAAAACAGACAACACAACCTTGTATTCAATCGAGATGAGAGTTGAGCAAAACCAGCGGATAGCTCAACCAAACATTCTTAGGTTACATATCTGAGTACACACATTCCCAGAAGCAGAAAGAAACTGTGACGTACGTCGCAAAACAAACGAAGTCCTGCGGAACAATTTGTATCTCGAATAAGTTACAGCGTTTTCCTGGGAAACCCCCTTTCCCCGCCTCCGCTCCCCTTACCCCGATGATCGCAAGATTACCGGAGGTAATCTTGCGATCACCATTTTTATCAAGAGAGCTTCTTAAGCAAGCCCTAAAAGAATTAAACTCATAGATTACCAATTTTATAAAGTTTATGACTTTTATATTTTCCATTCCCATTTCAGAAGCAATTTGTGAATCGATTGACAGAATTGTTTCTAAAAGACCATATGCTTTCGATGGAGATGAAGTTGTTGGAACAACAGGCCAGCGAATGTTTGTGTTTGCAAATGGTGCATCATCTGGGCACTTGTCCCTTCGAAAGATATTTATTTTAATGTTCGGACCTTCATATCATCGGCATTTTATTAATAATTCATCATCATTTTGTACTTCAAAATTGTTTGAAAAAGTAACAAATCAAGAATGTTTACCTTGGTTTAAAAAATAATGTAGTGTATCTGTGTATGATCCTGTATTTTAATAAATATAAATATAGTATTTTAAAGTAAAGTTGACTTTTTTTGTTGTGAAATGCTTGCAGAACATTTGTATAAATCCTGTTGCAGAACATTTGAAAATATTCTGCTTATGGGCACACATTTAAGACATAAATAATGTTTTCTGCTTTTATTATTATTTATGAACTCTAAGTTTGCATTTCTATTTATATTGTAACATTTCTCCCCGAAAACCACTACCATATATGCCTCCAATTGTTTTCGAAAAGTAATCTATCGAAAAGTAATCTGTCCTCAAGGAGCTCGAGCAATAACATAGTTAGTGTCAAAAAAGTTTACATGGCCTTTGATGTACAAGGATGCCAAGAAATTCATTAAGACCTGCCTATCTTGTCAAAGTTCCAAGATACAGCGACGTGTATATAAATCGCTTGGGAGGTATCTACCAACATTAGAAAGATTCGACAAAATTCGTCTTGACATAATTGGACCTTTGAAGAACATCCCCAGAACATTAAAGATTACAAATATTAGAACATTAACAATTCCAGAAACATCTCTATAAATCGTTTGAAACAGTCTGCAGACTTGAAAAACAACACTTCTTCGATTATTCACAGTCAGCATACCACCAGCCATTCATAAATAGGCTACTCCAAATAATAAAGTGAAAATGGTTACTTTTTCTAACGAACCGTTAAAGAAGGCTGTTTCCTACAAGTCATCAAGTGTTGGGAGACCTACTAAAGTTCCATCTAAATTTATCGACACATTCGAATGAGGTTTTTACTGGAAGAAGAGTAATGAAGCGACATGACGTCAAGCATTTTTAAATTATTTTAGAATTATATATGAGCTTTAAGTCCGTATTCATCCTTATATTCGAAATTGGACTAGTTACTCTGGTCATCTTATATTCGAATTTAACTAGTTATTGGACTAGTTATTCTCTATTCCTTCTGTTTATTTTGTTTTTGTGCCTTCCGCATCACAAGTATTTCATGCCAAATTTAACTAAAACGCATTTTATATAAATTCTAATTTAATGTGAACAGTATTTATTAAATATGTTTATTCATCAAGCTATTCATTTAGCTTCAAGTTAAGTCTCAACTCTTCAATGTCAACAATAAGAAAATAATAGTTTTTAGTACTTTTTTCAGGCTAACCGAAATCTTTTGTCTAGGGCTAAAAAAACTGATTGGCAAGCTAAATTCATTTTTATAACCAATCAAACGTGTCAAATAAATGTAAAAACTAATTTTAAGTTTTTTAACGTAAATGCTCATTTACTTGCTTATGGTGTCTTTTAATTTTTTGAAGTAAATTATTTTTTAAAGCTTATTTTTTGCTTTAAAATGTAGTGTGTTTAGATATTTTATTTTCAAGCCCTTAATTTAAACCATAGTCAAAAGTGAAAGCGTAATAATAACAGACAAATTTTTGGAAGATTAATAAATGTTTCTGGTAAATACTGTGAAGTAAGGGTTAAGTAAATAATATACGTTTAAGAGAGACTTTTATTAATTTTAGGCTGATGGCAGGGTAAAGATATCTAGATTTTCTTTAAGCATTTAAACTCATATTATATAATTTATCTGTTTAATAGCCGTCATTATCTTCAAAAGATTCTTATGTGCAGTGCACAAAATAAAAAAAATGGACCCCCTGAGTAGCTTTTGATCTAATGATTGGATCGTCACTTTCTAGGACTCAATTACATTGATTATCGAGGTGGTGACCTGAAATATATGTTAATTAATTAGTGTAGGCTGTATTTTAAATTATGAAATCAGACTCGAAAACGTACTTAGTCAAAATAACTTTTTTCGATAGATACGGGTTTTTGACCCCCAAAATATAGTTGTAATCTAAACAATATGGTCCCCACAGTCTAGTTAGGAGAGCTGTCCAAAGTTTAGACCTCTTAATGTTAATTTTACTTTTTGCGTATTTCACCATATTTCCATACAACGATAATTCCATGCAAAATATAACTTTCAGTCAGTATTTCTTATTATTTTATTTAACAGCGACACGTATATAAGTAGTATATGGTCAAAAGAAATTTTAATTGTAGGGAATATAAGATATTACATCATTTTAAAGAATATAATTTTATATAGTAAAATACAACATTTGAGCAAAATCGCTCAAGTAATTCCTGAGAAATTGAATTTTAAATTTCAATTTTTGAGGAACTCAAATTTTGTATTTTGCCATGTAGAATTACATCTTTTAAAGTGCTGTAAAAAATTCTATACCTTTCAAATCAATTTTTTTTCAGTCATTATCAAATAAAATAATAAAAAATAATAATAAATATGTACTAAAAGTCATATTTTGAGTGTAATTGTATTTGGATGAACAAATTTTTGTGTACAAAGATTTTTCAAATTGCTTAAAAAGTTCTCAAGATATGGCGAAATACACAGAAAATTAAATTAACATTAAGAGTGTCTAAACTTTTGCCCTCTCTCGGCTATTATATTTCGGAGGTCAGACATCCGAATCCGTCGAAAAAAAGGTATGCTTATTCGGAGAACGTGAAAATCCGATGATTAACTCGAAAGTCATTCAGGGTTGTCCGTTTTTTATTTTGCATTTAAGCGCAAAAGATCTTTATTTTTTAATTTTTTTTTTATCTTTCTTAATATTTTTTTTAAACTTTTAAAAGAATTGTTTATTTCTAGTAGAAAAAAAAGTGACATGATCCTAATTGCAAAAAGTAATATTTCATTGTCATTATAAAATAGTGAGATTACTCACAGGTTTCTCCTAGAATGCCAATCTTAAGCCTTATAACACGTTGATTTTCGTCATCCATTCCATTTGTTATGTTACTCGTTCTGTTTGTTTTATTACCCATTCCATTTATTTTGTTACATTCACCGTTCAATACTTCGCTGAACAACCGACTCCAATATTCAATAATAATGTCGAAATCACCTTTCCCCTGCCGTCTGATAATCTCGTATCTAAATGAAAGAGTTCCTTTCAAAACTATGAATCTCAATAAAATGTCATCATCTACAAAAGTTACGTCACAACCTACGTAATAGTTATGTAGTAACATCAAGTTTCACTTTCGATTTATAATTTCAAGGCTAAACAATTTATTAAGCAATGAAATATAAAGAAGGACCAAAAGACGGTATATCGTCGCTTTGAAACTGAACCGCAGTAACTCAAAAAAATCGAAAAATGAGATAGTTTGGTTATTTTGTGTAAAAAAATCACCCTTTCAGAGAAACAACATGTTATCTTCATGAGTTCCATAAGATTAATTTAGAGAGCAGATAAATCGTTATCGCATTGGCGCGATTCGTCATCTTGAAAAGTTAGAAATCGTTCTCCTGAAAAACTTGCTTTTTCGAGTTACCACTGTTTAGTTTCAAAGCGACGATATATGTGTCACAAATATCGTACTTTATCCTTCATTATTATTTTTATTTAATTAATAATAATGATGATAATCAATAGAGAATTACATTTAAGAAAAGTGGTCATTTAAATTCTTTTAGAGAGTAGCGCTGAAATTTTATTTATTTAATTTTTTTTTTCTAACTGCAGGCAATTTTTACGTTCTTTCTTTTAGGACACCTTCGAAATAGATTTGTTTATCGATTTAATCTTGCCAAAATTAATTGTTTACCCGACCTTTATACCTTTTTTCGACGGATTAGGATTTCTGACCTTCAAAATATAGGGGGTAGCCACAATCCGGGAAATATGGTTCCTGTAGTTTGATCAGGAGAACGATCCAAAGTTTGGACTCCTTAATGTTAATTTTACTTTTCGTGTATTTTGCCATACACTACCCAAGAATAATGGAAAAAGGCACTTTCCGTTTTTGACATTTCTTTGAATTTCTCAAGAAATACTTAAAGGACTATTCTGTAATGTTCGTCATACGTAGCAAATCAACACCTCTGGGGGTACTGATCCAGGAGTTTCTTTGTCTTCTGGATTGGTTCAAAATTACAAGGCTTCGGAGTTGAACATTAGTAGTCGTAAACTCAAAATTGGGTCGGCTGTTCAATGACGGATAAAATAAAAAATAAAATAGAACAAACGGTCCTAGATTTATAAGAAAGAGACACACACACAGACATACTAACTCTTCCATTTTATTGTTACAGATTACCTCTGCTACCATTAGAAAAACTATTTTCTGAAACTGTAGAAATACCATAGTAGTTGAGGGGTATGTCTATAGTCATGGATCGTCAAGCAAGTTTAAATCTCATGTTTTTGGGCTGTTTCTGCCAACATCTTACACCGACAACATTTCACTGACTCAGTTCATTTTCGTTACCCTGGGGCACTGACACAACTTTTGCTCTATCCTAGAAAAAATCTCCCAAGAGGTAATGAAATCAAATTCAATTCTAGGCGAACATGTTTTAAAATTTTGGCAGTACTTTGACACTCATCGCGGGGATGCCAACTGTTCCGCTTTCTACTAATGTTTTAATAAATTGGTAGAGAATTAAGTAGTAAAACTTGTAGAATAATGACAGCTACGACTAATCTTTAAAAGTATACTACGAGATAACTGTACACTGAAGTTTAATACGAGATAATGTGCATTTCATATGAAACTTTGAATTCTTGATGTGTAGAGGTAACAGAATTACTAAAATGAAAAATACACAATTAATAACTTAAAATTTCGTAACCACTAGAAAATATTTATTAACGAAGTATGTATATAACTGTTCGGCAAGTTGGCATCGTTGCCGAGCGGAATATATACACTGAGTGGCCAAATTATTATGACCACCCCAGAGTTTTATGCAAATGAGTTATTGCGTCACAGCGCTGCCGCTAGAGGGCAAGATAACTATAACACGAGAATGCTGGACAAGTGAGTCATCAGTTATACTGAGTTGCTTGCTCAGATATGAGAAATAAAAGTGATTTAACTGAATTTCAACGTGGAAGGATCGTGGATGCGAGATGTGTCGGAACGGGTATCAGCAAAATGGCTGCACTTGTGAAGT